GGAGAAGTGTATTTCCTAGGCCGCAGCTCTGACAAGGAAAAGTGGCATATTGTATTCTGAAAAAAAAATCTAAACCCCCTTTATTTTTTCAATTGTGTTGACTACAGGGGATGGATTGGCAAGATATGAGCCATCTTGCTTCCACTCTCAGACCCAGCTGGCTTCTCAAAAATACCAAAAGATTCCTGTGTCTCTGCCTGGGGTCTTCTCTGGCTGTACTTCCTGACAGAGAACCAACTTTCATCTCTGAATTCTATGTTAGATATTAAATAATGGTCCTTAAAGAGAAAAAAAAATCCCATGCGAATAAGCAACAGAGTTCTAAGAAACCTGCCAGAGAGAGAGGTCAATTTTGTAAATAGAATCAATATCATCTCTATATCCACCCAATCCAAAGGAAGCAAAAACAGGCCATTTCTTTACCTCATTTGAGGAAAAAAAATGAATATGGCTCAAAAGATAATGGCTACCTTGCTTATGTCCCAAAAATGAAAATAATACAGTTAAGTATTTTTAGGAATGGAAAATATCCTAAAATTATTTAAAATTTCTTTTCTGCCTTTCTGAGTATATGATGCTTGAGTTATTTATTTTTTATGGAATTGGGAGTAAGGCATAATTAGGATGCTCTGGAAGGAATATAAAGTGCATCTGACATTCAAAAAACAGGATTTTATAGCAAGACAATAACATTCCAAGCCAGGCAATTGCCATTATAAAGGACTGTATAAATTACTTTATTTTCCCCTTTAGAACATTAAGGGCTAGACTTGAAAGAGGTGAAAGTTTGTCTATTCTAATGTCAGGGAATCCTGTGAAAGAAGGGTTAAGAGAGGGATGGAAGGAGAGAAGGAGCAAAGACTACATTAGGTAAGTAAAGCTAACTGCAAGAGCAGAGCTGAAGGGGGATCTTGGCCCTCACTCTCTCATTTCCCACTTAGGACCTGGAAAGTGATCACCTATCAGGGGATCCCTCCTCCAAGTAGGGAACAGCCAAATACACTTAGTGAACTGTGTGTGTGTGATGCCAACAACCACTAGAAATTGGATTGACCCAACATTCAATGTGAAGTAGGAAACAATAGTCTTCCCCACCACTCCATTGCTTTAGATTTGAGAGCCATACTGGTCAAAACTCTGTCATATCTTGGTTCTGTGACCTTAGACAGGCCGCTTCACTTCTTTGAGTCTCTGTTTCCTAGTCTGTTACATGCAACGATTCCAAGAAGTTTTTAAAAGGGACCACTGTGAAGGGGAATTGGGAGTAGGGGGAAGAAAGAGGTCAGCAGATAGAGCCTCATGCTCTCCTTCACTACTGCAACCAGAGGAGCTCCCTTTTGTCAACTGTATATACATTCATGTATCCCTTTATGACCAGGTTACAATCTGAAAAATACATCATTAGGCAATCTGTTCTGCAAACATCACAGAATGTACTTACATAAACCTAGATAGTATTGCCTATTACACACCCAGGCTATATGGCATAGCCTATTGCTCCTAGGTACAAACCTGTACAGCATGTTACTGTATGTGGCTGTAACACAATAGTAAGTATTTGTGTATCTAAACATAGAAAAGGTACAGTAAAATTACAGTATTGTAACCTTATGGGACCACTATTGTTTCTGTGGTTTTTCATTGCCCAAAACAGTATTATACGACATATAACTATTGGGTTTCACTTTAAATTTTTATTTAAAGAATATTTCAAGGCTGTTTAATAATAAATTTAATAATATTTATTTAATTTTTAACACAATGGTTAGAAACCACTGGAGTAGATGACCTTCAAAGTCTTCTCCAGGTTTCACTTCCCCCAGTCCAGACTTCCTTTGCAGCATCTCCCCCATTCTTCAATCCCTCAGTGCCTTTCCATTGTCCTCTGGCAGCTCAGAAGCTCTTGGAATGAGCATTTACCACAACTGGCGTTCCACCTGCAAGCATCTGCTATGGTCTGAACATCTGTGTCACCCCAAAATTTATATGTTGAAATCCTAACCCCCAATGTGATGATATTAGGAAGTAAGGCCTTTGGAAGGTGATTAGGTCATGAGGGCAGAGTTGTCCTGATTGGGATTAGTGACTTTATAACATAGAGACAGAGAGATCCCTCACCCCTTCCACCAAGTGAGGACACAGGGAGAGGGCCCCGTCTATGAAGTGGTCTCTCACCGGACACCAAATCTGCTTGCACCTTTATTCTTGGACTTCCCAGTCCCCAGAACTGTGAGAAATAAATTTCAATTGACAGTTTATAAGCTACCCAATTTATGGGATTTTGTTACTATAGCCTGAACTCACTAAAATAGCACCAGAATCACTGGTATTACCTCTAGGCCCAGCAACAAAGGCACAATGTCTGTGATGACTGGGGACTTCAAACCCTGCTTCAGCACTATGGCCATGCCAAACCATTCCTGTTGTTAAAACAGGAAAACCACCTGATTGGGATTATCTGCACCGGCTTCAATATTGATGGTGATGACTGTGAGCCCTGGAGCTGCATTACAAGGAGAATGGACACTTCTCTCTGCAAGGGAGGTTGTCTACTCTTTCCCCCTTCTGGCCTCACCTTGCCTTCCAACTTCCCTCCCCCAGAAAACAAACAGACAAAAACAAACAAACAAACAAAATCTTTAGTCTTATTCTAGAGGTGCATATGACTGTGTTTTGAATATTAGCCTTGGCATCCTCGTTCCAGAAGAACTCTGATCATTTCTTGATTCTTCTCCAGACCATTGGCCCCAAAATATACTCACCTTCACAGGAGCCTTCTTTAGTCAGCCTTTAGTAACTAATGCAGTAAGATCTATTATAATGCTAAAGAATTAATGAAGCTTTGTACTGGAGGGGGTGGAATAATTTGAATTTCCTGGAAGTTTTCAAACTGCATCTCCCACAGCCTCAAATATTCTGATACCGCTCTCATACCCCCATTGCCAATCCACAAGGATGCAACCAGGTTGTGCATTTCAAAAAAAGAGGTTCTAAATGAGTGAGACGATGTTTACTTTCAGCAAGAACCACTAGTTTACAATTTGATGTACATTGCCAGGAAAGATTTGCATTTTTAAGGCTAATCACTGAAACCAAAACAAGGAACAGCTCTAGACTTCTGGAACAAGGCTAAAAAGAGACTTTTGCCCTTGTATAAGCAGGGCCTCCTTCTCCTGTGGTTCTCAGTGTAGGAGGTGCCCTGGCGTGGGTTGAACCCTGTGTCATTGTTCTGAAGATGTAAGGGCTATCAGTTAAGTGTCTAAATGGCATAACTTTGTGGACTCAGATTCTAGCTGATGTGGATGACCTGTCTTATAGGTTTCTGCCGATGTTCCTAAGTCCTCAGTTCCTGTTAAAAGGCAAGTTCTTAGTATATAATGAAAATGTATAAGCCTTAGTGGGTTAAACATGAGTGCTGGAGTCATCAAGTCAGTAGGATCAAGTACTAGATTCAGAAGCTGTGGATTGTCCAACACTCATATGGTTTCATGGGGGCTGGGGGAAGGTTATAAAAGCAAAGGTAGAGCATTATTCCCATTTTGCACTATGTAGTTGATGCCTATGTGTCGAAAGGATGTGTGTGATAAGGACAGGGAGGCATGGGAGCAGAGGTGGAGGATGTGAGGATGGTGAGGTTATATGGAGGGTGTGTGTGGAGTGTGAAAAGGAGCATGAAGCGTGTAGGAATGGTGTGCATACACATACACATATGTGTGCATGCACGTGTAGTCCCGGACACTACAGTAGGTGCCTGGACTTCCAGAACCTAAAAGTTTGGTGTTGAAAGCAAAAAGGAACTAGAGTGCTCTCTCCCTTTGGCTCACACTTCCTCAAAATAAAACTTGATGATGTTTAGGAGCAAGGAGTTTGGATTGAAACATGGTTTTCAATCCTAACCCAGCACTCACTAGCTGAGGAACCTTGGCCATGTGATTTAGCCACATAACATCACTTCCTTACCTGTAAAATAAAGATATTTCTTGGCATCCCTAAAGGGCTGAGCACAGTGTAATACAAAGACTGTCCAAAAATAATAACTTTTAAAAATTCTAGCCCATTTCTCAAAACTGATCCCAAAAGGAAATTGCACCATGGCAACGAAATAACCTCCCACAATGTAACTTTTGCAATTCATTTCTATTCTATGCCTTGTTTTTAACAGGTTATTTGGCAGGTGGGGGAGGGGATGGGGATAGAGTTCACAAACATTCTCGATTACCTGTGGCTCCTGGGACCAAGAACAGAGTGAAAACATGCAATCCCCAGGGTGGGGCTCCTCAGTGGTTTCAACCAACACAACCTTTCCAAGCATTCTCCCTTGTAAGTAAATAAGTTGACAGGAGCTGGCCACTTTCATGTGCCCTGTCCCACCCTCTGACAATGGTGCAGGGAGATGGAGAGTTGGCCACTCCCTGTAGGACATGCGGCAAGAAACCTGGACTGTGGGCTGAACGCAGTTTGCCTTGTGGCACAGGGGACAGGTCTGAGCCTAGAAGTTTCCATACTTCTTTTGTTCTTAACATCAAAATCAATCTGTTTTCAGCATTGTGGGGTTTGATTGCAACCATTGGAGTTTTAGCAAATAACTACTTCGGAGTTATAAAGCAAATATACAGTGTAAATATGAGGCCTATGTTACTTTATAAATTATCTGGAGCGCTTCGTACAACAGTTAAAAAGTAATTCTGAAACATTAGTCACAGTCACCCAATGATTTCTTCTCATATTACCAGAAAGTTCCTGCTATAAAGTCAGAGACCACCACTAATTAATTATATAAGAATATTATAAAGTTGATTATGGTCTTAAAAATAAAAGTAATATACAGGTCTCATTTTTGCTTTTTTTTTTTTTTCTCCATATAGCCTCTAGAGCTTTTTCCTGCCAATACTCTTCCATCTGTGGAGTTACTGTTACATGAACAGTGTTGCAATTCTCTCCGTTTCTAACTGCTGGCTTCTCCATAGGAATAGACACCACTCTCTATGCAATAACTGGCTACCGCAAGAGGACCTCAGGCTTTATTTGGAAGCTTCTTGTGATTATCATAGCTGATCCCACCAATGCCCTCTAGTATATTCATGGGCAGAGGAAACACAATTGTAGAATTCTTCTCGGTGGCTACCGTGCTCAAGGTCTGCAGGTAGCGCAGCTGGAGAGCTATGGGAGACTCAGCTAGCACCATGAAGGCTGACTTCAGAGATTTGGAAGCATTCATTTCTCCTTCAGCTGCAAGGACCTGAAATGACAGAAAAAAATCGTTCAGAAATAAAACTTTACACTGTAACTAATGCTTTCTTTTTCTGGGTCTGTATTGATACCCCTCTCCCCAGTCCCCATGTTGCCACATGTGTTTCATCTACTTCTTTGGCCAGGATAAGAGTTTCACTTCCTAACATAATTAGAGAAATTCAAGGAGGTTGCAGGAAGCAAGGAGTTATATTTTACAAATGACAGGTCCCTAGATTTTATTGTCAAACAAAAATAAAAGTACTCTCTTGAATACAAGTGAATACTTGGCACCTACCCTACTAATGCCTTGAAGCACTTTGGAGCCTCACTACTTGCTGCGTTCATTTTCAGAGACGTCTGAAATTTAAGGCCTCTAACTGACGTTTTTATCATTTTTACTTATCTTAGATGTTTTTAAGTTCATTCTGTTGCCACTTTGGTGTCATTCTTACAAACCGAGAATTGTTTCTAGTTCTCTTGGCTCTTGATTACAAGTAGCAATAAGTGCCAGCCTTGTAACACTGGCAATCTCTTAAGTACATCACTCTTTCGAGCTCTCAGACTGTCCAAGAGTGATTCAGCTGCCCTATCTGTGGCCATCTACCCAGGTGAAAAAGTGATCTCTCTTCTCTCGTTGCCGAGTCCCTTCTTGGAAGCTGCTGGAGCTTAGCAGATAAACCAGAGATGAGTCAGAAATGAGTCAAAGAAACGCCTTCATCAGCTAACAGGTAAGTTTCCAAAGAGGATACACACAGGCTTGAAAGCCCAGTTGGTTTCTGATACTTCAGGAAAGCCATCCACACAGGCCTGAAAGCCAGAATCTCAACAGATTCAAGGACATTCAGAGCCAGGGTACACTTCCCTTTTGTAATTCTTACCTGGATTGTATTTAATTGCCCCCTTTTATTCCAGCAACATTTAATATATAAGAACAACGATGCGCAAAAGACAGGTTCCATGTTGGCTACATTTAAGTCACCAGCTTTATGAAAATATAGGTTTCTTAGCCCACACGAGACTGCTTCAAGCCTGGGTTTGAATAAGGCTTGGAAATTGGTATTGTTTTGTTTTGTTAAATTCTCCCCAGGGAACACTGACATGCGGCTGGAGTTGGGACCTACTTGGCTAAGTCACTCAGTATGTTACTGAGCGTCCTCTTAACGCAAGACCTGCTACCAAACTTCCTCAAGGTGCAGTAAGCTGCTGGTTACCTTTTAATTCAGGGAAAATTCTCAGTAAAACTGGGAAAAGAAACCCCTTTCTTATGAAGATAATTGAGAGACCCAATCTTCGGTTCAAGTCCTATCCTTGTTGGCCCCAATGCTAGGCGGTTCTCCCTCCATGTGTGAACTGCACAGCCCTCACCTTGGCTCTGGCTTCCCGGGTGGCCTCAGCCTCAGCTGCCATGGATCTCTGCAACTGCACGGGAATCCGAACATCTTTGATTTCCACTCGGGCCACCCGGATCCCCCACAGGTCAGTGGCATCATCAAGTAAAGTCTGTTTCCAAATCAAAAGAAAAGACTAATAAGAAAGACAGGTGATATGATGTACATTTCTGTTATGTTTTATACTTGCAAGATACATTTTTCTTTTTTTTGTTGTTGTTGCATTTACAGCATTTGGAGTGAGACAATTTGGGAAGAGAATAAGAGTTACCCTTATTGATCATTTTCTGGACTTTAAAGTGAATCTCATGGCAGACCTTTTAGTGGGTGTCCATCAGCAGGATCTACCCCAAAACCATTCCCAAGGAGGTATATGAGATCCGTCTAGATTTGAGCAAATATCCCAAATTTGCTTGTCGCTGGTATCAAGCAGACAGCAATGAATGGGTTTCTTAGACAGACCTGGATTTTGCCTTGGCTCTGCCATTTGCAGTTGTGAATCATCAGGACAGTTTCTGAACTTATCTGGCTCTCAGTTTTCTTACCTATAAAAGGTTTTCTTTCAGGACTGTTATTAGATTTGGAGACAATGCATATAAGATCTCTCTCAGTACCTAACAATGATTCAGTGCATACTATTATTGGGTCCTTTTCAAGATATTATTTATCTCACGCTGTTTAACTTCTGCTCTATGGCCAGCTTTAAAGAAGAAGCAAGGCATATTTTTCGAGGCAGAAGCAATAAATGCAAAGACACGCTTGTCTTTGTAAAAGCTTAAAACCATTGAAGATATCTTGCTGGTCATCCTGGAGAAGATGAATGTCTTGAGAAATGGTAGGATCAGAAGGATAGCTCCCCTAAAGGGGTGGGGGCAGAGATCTCTGCTACCAAACAGCAAGAGATCCCTCCCTTGCCTTTCTGGGATCCCTGCAGGACACTGAGAGATAGTGACACCTCACAAGAAGTCAGTGACCTGGCTGTGGATGGGATACCTTTGAGTTGTTAAATTCATGGGTCACATATAAACAATATGGAGAATTACCATGCAGAACTCATACGGCCTCATAAAAGCTTGGGATCTTTCCTCTACCTCAGGGACTAGAGGAGAGGCCAAGAAGAACCAAAGTTGAATGTCTTTATATAATTAACTTACAGAAAAGAAGCTCAGAATCCAATTGATCTAAGAAAATAGGCCGGGCGCGGTGGCTCAAGCCTGTCATCCCAGCACTTTGGGAGGCCGAGACGGGCGGATCACGAGGTCAGGAGATCGAGACCATCCTGGCTAACCCGGTGAGACCCCGTCTCTACTAAAAAATACAAAAACTGCGCGTGGCCACCCTATCCAGCACGGAGCCGAGGCACGGATCACAGGCAGAGATCGAGACCCGTGAAACCCGTCTCTACTAAAAATACAAAAAATTAGCCGGGCGCGGTGTGGCGCCTGTAGTCCAGCTACTAGGAGTGAGCAGGAATGGTAACCGAGGGCTGCAGGCGAGATCGCCATGACCAGCTCTGGCGAAGAACTCCAAAAAAAAAAAAAAAAAAAAAAAAAAAAAACAGCCGAGGTGGCGGCCTGTAGTCCCAGCTACTCGGGAGGCTGAGGCAGGAGAATGGCGTAAAACCCAGGAGGCGGAGCTTGCAGTGAGCTGAGATCTGGCCACTGCACTCCAGCCTGGGCGACAGAGCGAGACTCCATCTCAAAAAAAGAAAATACAGAAGTATTCTTGTTCATAAACTCATGTGTGTAAGAGATGAGATCGATAGCTGTTACATCTTCATTGATATTATAATTATTACTATTAATGTTGTTAGTGATATTGATGGTATGGTGTAAGAATTTCTAGAGATGACAGGTCTATGGTGTCTCAATTGAATTTAACTTTCACACTATTTAAATATATAGGCTACCTGAGAAATGGCTGCACTCCTGGAGTAATCTAAGCTAAAAATAAATCTGATCTCTAACTTCTTCAGAAAAGACTACTGGTAAGATGTTAATTCGTAATTTTGAATTCCAAAGAAAATGGATAAGGGGCACAATTTCAGCAACTGCCTTCTTGCACTCAGATATTTAAATATATTTCTTGTGGTCACAGGTGAGTGAAATCACAACGGAAGCTCACCTCTAGAGCAGTTGTCTGTGTGTGAGTGTGTGCAAGCATGCATGTGGTGGGGATGTTTTGAACTGCTGATATTTCATCATCACTAATAATTAAAATCAATGAGTTAAAGATATAGGCTATTAGCTCATGGTATCTTCACCTGGATGCTATGGGCAATCTCTTCTCGTCCAGCTAAAATCTGGGACAAGGTCTGTGTCCCTAAGACATTCCTCAGAGTGGTTTGAGCCAGCAGAAATGTTGCTTGATGGACATTGTTGACATTAGCCACTGCCGAGACAGCACTATAGACTCTGTAATAGACAACTCCATCTACCTGAGTAGTCACGGAGTCTCTGGTGAGGATCTGTCGAGTAAGAACAGGGCAAAATCACTTATTTATGACTTTCACCACTGCTGACAAAGTGACAGCCAGCCCAAGAGCCATCCTCCACAGAAGGAGAGCAGTAACGACAACTCATGCTATAGTCACCTAAAACCTGTTCTGGCTTGGACAGAATATCTTCCCAGCTGATACGCAATTCCTCTAAAGCTGTCATTATACTTACCCCTGTGACTTCATCTTTAAGAAGCTTTACATCCTATAGGCAGAAACCCTTGACTTGACATCCTAAGAACAGGCCCTTCCATTTTAAATGTAACAGTACAGCCCTTCTGTCATTCTATTATCTTCAATTTTCTAAGCAGAGGTAGAACACTTGTTTCCCTGATACCTGTACTCTTTGGTTTTCAGTTTTTATCAGACTTGAAGCAGTGTATCTTAGAAAACATAGATGGCACCAGAGACCATGTAAAGAAAAATCGATTCAGCTCTATGGAGAGGTTCAGCATCAATCATTCTGAATAATGTGACAGAATGTTTTGGAGCAAATGAGAGATTTCTGGGTATACTATGGAAGCAGAACCTAGAACTGTCCATTACAGAGCCAGAAAAGTCCCTATTAAAGGTCACTAAGCATCCCAACCTCTCCTGACTACAGCTGAATTATCTTTTTTTTTTTTTTTGAGACGGAGTCTGGCTTCGTCACCCAGACTGGAGCAGTGGCACAATCTCTGCTCACTGCAACCTCCGTCTCCCAGATTCAACTGATTCTCCTGCCTCGGTCTCCTGAGTAGCTGGGATTACAGGTGCATGCCACCATGCCCAGCTAATTTTTGTATTTTTAGTAGAGTCGGTGCTTCACCATGTTGGCCAGGCTGGTCTTGAACTCCTGACCTTAAGTAATCCGCCTGCCTCAGCCTCCAAAAGTGCTGGGATTACAGGCATGAGCCACCACGTCTGACCCGGGGCTGAATTCAAAAGTATTCTGCAGTTCCTAAGTGACATGAAGACACCATGTTTGAGTCCTGGTTGAGTTTCCTGAACCAGACAGAAGAAAACTAACATATATTTATAAATGTGGATTTTCTGTCTTCTTATCACCATTGCCCTCCCATATCCTAGGTCCTGCATTTCTTTTCCTCTAACCTGAACCACTTTGGTTATGAGAGGGTGACATGATAATTAGTAACTCTGTTCCTCTTCCCTATTGCTGAGTTACTGTTCTGGTCATTTACTTGTAGTACTTCAAGAATTAAAAGACTTATGTGGGCTGGGTGCAGTGGCTCAGGCCTGTTATCACTGCACTTTGGGAGGCCGAAGCGGGGGGATTACCTGAGGTCAGGAGTTCGAGAGACCCGTCTGGCTAAGTTGGTGAAACCCTGTCTCCACTAAAAATACAAAACTTAGCTGGGTGCGGTCACAGGCATCTATAATCCCAGCTACTTGGGAGAATCGCTTGAACCCGGGAGGTTGCAATGAGCCGAGATTGCACCACTGCACTCTAGCCTGGGCGACAAGGATGAAACTCTGTCTCAAAAAAAAAAAAAAAAAAAAAAAGACTTATGTGAAATACAAACACGAGTGGGCCCTGACAGCCTCTCCTCTGTCCTTATGCCTGCCCCTCTATCGCACCCAAACACAGAAATAATTTAAAGTCAAAAGCAAATGGTACTCATGTGGATATTATGAAAAATTGTTCGGAGAGGGCGATAGAGAGGGTGGAATCAAAAACAGCCACTGCCATCCATCTGCCCTCTGTCAGATTCTATTCAGCTGTTTTATACAGTGTCTGTCTGTCTCTTTCAAGCTTGTGCTCTGTCATTCTCCATCTCAGCTTTCCTGCTGACTAGTTCTCTGCTGTCAGGCTTTCTCACACCAGGCCAATTCTAAGTCTCCTTGCTCTTGGCTTCATTCTCATTTGGCAAAACAAATTCTTGGTAGTTTCAGGAACCACCACGGGCAATTCAAGTAGGTCTCTGGGGGTACTCAGCTCACCTCCCCTCCTGTAGTTTAAAAGTGTACTATAAAGTTGTAATTGTCCGTACAATAGGGAAAATACACCTTTAATGTCGAGCGACATATCCTTAATCAATACTACCTCTTGTGGAGGAATGTTGCAAGTAATTGTTCGGAGGTCAACTTTGACAAACACATCTATGCATGGCAGAACCAGGATCAAACCTATGAGAAAAAAAAAAAAAATCAGTTTAAAATGTTGCTCTATTGCAAATAACTACAAGTAGTCTCATAGCAGTGTGATGCATCACTTACATGGGGCGATACATGTTTCTCAGATGATCTTCAGTATGAACACGTGAAACTCTGAGAAAAATGATTTCATCCTCTAAGTCAGTGACTGAGGAAAAGTAATTTCCTGGGAAGTAAAGTCTTTTGGTAAGAAGCTAAAGATCCCTGACATTTAATTTTGGTTTTTGTTTTTAAAACAATCTGCTTCTACCCAAGTGTTTACTTTGACATTAATTAAAAATAATATTCTGACCAATTGTGAAAAGCACCTTTGGGACAAGTGGGAAATTTGAACACAGAATGCATATTAAAAGATTTGTTAAGGCCGGGCATGGTGGCTCATGCCTGTAATCCCAGCACTTTGGGAGCCCAGGGTGGGTGGATCATCTGAGGTCAGGAGTTCAAGACTAGCCTGGCCAACATGGCAAAACCCCATCTCTACTAAAAATTTTTTAAAAAATTTAAAAAATCAGCTGGGCACGGTCATGCGTGCCTGTAATCCCAGCTACTCGGGAGGCTGAGGAAGGAGATTCGCTTGAACCCAGGAGGCAGACGTTGAAGTGAGCTGAGATCGTGCCACTGCACTCCAGCCTGGGCAACAAGAGTGAAATTCTGTCTCAAAAAAAAAAGAAGAAGATATTAAGGTGTTCTAGTTCACTGTCCTGGTTGTGATAATGGCATGTGTCTTAGTCTGTTCAGGCTTCTGTAACAAAATACCATAAACTGGGTGGCTTAGAAACAACAGAAGCTTATTTCATATAGTTCTGGAGCCTGGAAAGTCCAAGATCAAGGTGCATATAGATACAGTGCCTTGTGAGGGCTCATTTCCAGGTGTATAGATGGTCATGTGGTATCCTGAAAGGGACAAGGCAGGTCTCTTAGACTTCCTTTACAAGGCCGCTCGTGAGGATGACTCCCTTATGATCTAATTACCTCCCAGGGGCCCCATCTCCTAATATCATTACACTGGTGATTAGCTTCAACCTATGAATTTTGGGAGGACACAAATACTCAGACCACAGCAGCACGGTGTTAATAAAGTCCTTATCAGCTAGATGCACAGACTAAAGTGTTTACAGGTAAAATAACATGATCTGGTATTTTGTATTTGCTCTAAAATACTCCACCAAAAAAATATTTTGGGAAGTAGTTTCCTTATAATAAAGATACTCACGTAACAGATTCAAGTAATAGACTTTTGACTTTGAATATCAGTGACTACCAACATTCTCAGTCAATTTAAATAGTAATGAAGGATTATTGAATTAAAATCTTCCCAGGGTCTCACATTCCTCTAAATCAATGTATTCCAGAATTAATAGTTTCTCCACAGCCCTGATCTGATTCATGTACAATAGCATTCTCCAGCTGTAAACACATCTACTTCTTTCTGATTTGTGGGGCATTAAGTTGGGGCTGGGTCAGGGAAGGATGGGCATAAGAAAGCTCATTAAAGGACCCTGGGAACTCTTAACATTACCCTGGTGAATGTCATTCTTTACTGTGAGAGTTACAAAGATTAGAACCACAAGGCATGTCGGCAAGATGGGGACACTAATCGATTTCCATTAATCAAGAAGGCTTTGCACTATTGGTTTGTTTTCACAGCAGAAACCAGTTCTGGAGCCGAACACCACGCAAAGGGGTGGCAGTGTCCGCAAAATACGCTGCTAAAGTGCTTTATTTCTTTTGGCCTCTAAACCTTACTGCCATTTTTGGTGCCAGGTCACTGTGGTTAAAATCATGGACCTGAGAACTAGACAGAGTTAAGTCCCAACCCTACTACCTAGTAGCCTTGTGACTAGGGAAAACTCACCTAACACTTCGGTTACCTAATAGATATAAGCTGGTAGTGAAGATTAAGCCTGATTCAACATGATAATGAAATAAAGTACTAACCACAGCGCCAGGTATGTGTTAAATGCTCATGAAGTATCAGCTATTATTCAAGAATAATTTACAATTTATAAAAGTGGAAAGGTTTTCCATTAGCAATTTGGCTTGTTTCCCTCTTGTCCTTATGACATTCTGAGGTAACTCATTACCCCAGAGACAGGTATGACGAGAGTTGTTATCCTGAGACATTTAATGGTGAAATCTTCAGGGAAAATTCATTTAAAAGTGACATATTTTTCTCTAGAGGCCTCCAAGTTCTGGCTGTTCTGCTTCTCTTGGATCCAAAATTTATTTTAACTTATAATCTTAGCCCCACCAGGTGGAACAGAACCAGGAAGAAGTTAATCTTGGGCTGTTATAACTCAGTTGAATGATTCTTGCTTTGCCAAACTCACGAGAACATCTGTAAGTAGTTTTTACCTTCTTTTTCTTTAGGTCCTTTATGAAATTAGACAAGTAAGATTATGCTTGAAATGGTTGTTGGGTGTGGTGGCTCATGCCGGTAATCCAGGCACTTTGAGAGGCCGAGATGGGCAGATCAACTGAAATCAGGAGTTCAAGACCAGTCAGGCCAACATGGTGAAACCCCATCTCTACAAAAATACAAAAATTAGCCGGGCATGATAGTGGGTGCCTGTAATCCCAGCTGCTCGGGAGGCTGAGGCGAGAAAATCACTTGAACCTGGAAGGCAGAGGTTGCAGTGAGCTGAGATCACACCACTGCACTCCAGCCTGGGCAACAGAGCGAGACTCCATCTCAAAAAAAAAAAAAAAAAAAAAGGCCAAGAAGCCTCCTTCACAAGTTTCTCCTCTTGAAGTTTCCCATACTTTTTTATATATTAACAGATCCATGGCTTATGGCCAAGGGCAAAGCACACAGAGCATCGCGATGCTTAGGAAAGTTCCTACCCCAGAGACCTCCCAGTTGCAGAGAGAACAATTTATTCAAACAAGCCATAATGGGGGCAGAAAGCAAATGTTATCAGAGAAATATAGCTAGTAACAATTGCTTTTCCTGTGCCTTCTAAGACAGTGCTTTTGGTAGCCCCTCATTTCCAGAGTATTAGAATTAATCCTATGAAATTGCCATGTTTGGGAGTCAAAACAAAGTCAGCAATTTCCTATAGTTCAACTACATATATGCTCAGAGAAGTTACGAGCATTAAATCAATATCTTACTTCAGGGAGTTTTAGTACCTTATAGTTTTAGTATACACCCCAACCGCTGGCAAAAATAAGAAACAACAAATAAAACCACCTTCTTTTATAACATGACTATTTGGAATATTTTCTTTTTCAAGATGGTAAAGAAAGGATGGAAATAAACACTATACTATACTAGATGTTAGAAGGCCTGAAAGCTCATCTTTATTTCTAACTATAAGGATAATCTTAGATCATTCATCAAACTTATGTGGGCCTCATGTTTTTTATTTCAAAACCAAGGGATTTGGCAAAAGGCATCGTACAATGGTTTCCAGCTCTATCTTTCTATGCATCTACTTGCCATGAGAGGAAATTACCTTTTGCTTTTCACTTAGTCCTTTTCAAAGAGTAAGCATCAAACACCAGCTCTCAATATACTCTCGTTGAGTAACTTAATGGTCTACGTTGGCCATTTACTTTCCCTCTTATTCTTCTCACATTCTCCTGGTGGTCCTGGTAATAAGTGACATTCAGCCAATGTAACCAGAGCCACCCTTTGCTCACATTCATTGAATCTCTCAGAGGGAGAATTAGGAAGCCAGGCCAGATTTCCAGACTCTCAAACTGGTGGTTATTCCCACCAACTTGCATAAAAAGGTGGCATTCTTCTGTTGTACCAAAAGGCAAGAGAGCCAGCTTCCAGCAATTGTTCTTTGACTCTTCATAGGCACCACCAGGAAAAATATTGAAGGTGGTAGCAGTAGCATTAGGTGTCCCTGATCTTTGTCAGAGGCAGCCACAGCGTCATTCATACCTGGCCCCTTGGCTTTGTCAGCTTGGATGCGTCCCAGACGGAATACAACAGCACGTTCATACTCCTTAATGATCTAGGAGATTAAGGGAGAACGTTTAGTCCTAATGGTTTGTCAGTTCATATAGAGAGCCCAGTTTATGTCCCAGGGTGTTACCTTTAAGCACATCCATATGGAGATGGGGAAGGTAATGATCACCAACAGGAAAGAGAGGGAAAACAGGAGCCAGCCGCATACACCAAGCCGTTTATTGTTGACACCTAGGAAATGAGAAGGAAGCAAATCTGTAATCAATGTGGTTCTTTAAAAAGCCACCCAGCTGCATGGGTGTGGAACCTATCCAGACAACTGGCCAAGCCTGATGTGGCTGAATAGGAAACCTAAATCCATTTACACCATGAGTGTAGTTCCACACACACACACACACACACACTCAAATGTTTATTCAGGTTTTTAAAAATTAAAATGAACTTATTCCTTCCAAGAAAAATCTCGTAACAATAAGCAGAAACAATTATTATTACATTTTATAGGGTTGCTATAGTTTATTATTCTCAAAACACATAAACCGTAGTTCTCAAAATATAATCTCTGGACCATCCACACCAGAATCATCAGATGTCTGGGTCCTGTGAATTCTCGAGGTAAAATTCAAAGCACCCTCTAAGGCAGGTAGGTAGGTACTATTATACCCAGAGGGACACAGTGTGGCACATGGAAAAATATCCTGAAAAGTCCCGAGGTATGAGTTTTTATGTGAGCTCTGTCACTTACCAATTCTAAAGCATTAGGATGGAAGACCACTCAGTCTCCGGGTTTCTGTTTCTTCATCTGTAGAATGGGGTTAGAAGTTACCCACCGTAGAGAATTTGATGAGGATTAAATAAGATTACTTTTATATGGCTCCTGGGGCATACATTAACATCTACAGTTTTAAACAGGTATTCTACTATTATTCCCATTTACAGATGAATATGTATTCCAGGGACTTGTTGTCAGATGTTGATATTTGCCATTTCTAACTTTTCTTTTTTTTTTTTTTTTTTGGAGACGGAGTCTCACTCTGTTGCCCAGGCTGGAGTGCAGTGGCCGGATCTCAGCTCACTGCAAGCTCCGCCTCCCGGGTCTACGCCATTCTCCTGCCTCAGCCTCCCGAGTAGCTGGGACTACAGGCGCCCGCCACCTCGCCCGGCTAGTTTTTTGTATAGAACTTATGTTCAATTGATTCTATGACCCCCTCTCCAGCTTTAGCTTCCCCCCCCCATTCACTTTCATAAAGTTTTGTTATATTGGCTCGTCACATAAGATCTCTGCTTGCTAATCACACATAATGATAGCAGGTGCATTTTGGCTTTATGAATATTGCTTTGCAATAGGATGAGACTGAGTTAAAATCCTACTTCAACCACCTAAAACTCTGTAGCATGAATTACATCAATTATATAATTTCTGATGTCTCTGGATTTTTTTTTTTTTTTTTTTTTTCTGAGACGGAGTCTTGCTCTGTCACCCAGGCAGGAGTGCAGTGGCACAATCTGGGCTCACTGCAAGCTCTGCCTCCCAGGTTCACTCCATTCTCCTGCCTCAGCCTCCCAAGTAGCTGGGACTACAGGCGCCCGCCACCACACCCAGCTAATTTTTTGTATTTTTTAGTAGAGACGGGGTTTCACCATGTTAGCCAGGATGGTCTTGATCTCCTGACCTCGTGATCTACCCACCTCAGCCTCCCAAAATGCTGGGATTACAGGCGTGAGCCACTGCGCCTGGCCAGGGATTCTTGTTTGTAAAATAAGCAGGTCTGGCTGACTCTTTTAATTTAGCATTCTTTATAGTCACCGTTTTACCTCCTTTAATTATTCTTATTTTTTTGAGACAGAGTCTCATTCTGTCGCCCAGGCTGGAGTGCAGTGGCGCAATCTCGGCTCACTGCAACCTCCACCTCCCAGGTTCAAGCAATTATCCTGCCTCAGTCTCCTGAGTAGCTGGGATTACAGGCACCTGCCATCACGCGTGGCTAATTTTTGTATTTTTAGTAGAGAAGGGGTTTCGCCATGTTGGCCAGGCTGGTGTCGAACTCCTGACCTCAAGTCATCCTCCTGCCTTGGTCTCCCAAAGTGCTGGGATTACAGGCATGAGCCACTGCACCCGGCCCATTTTACCTAATTTTAAATCCTTGTTCCTCCTTATTCCGTTCTGCTTGACAACCACCCCCATTCTCATCCCCATTATCTCCTCCAGCTGATTTATATTCTCCATACACAAGCACTAGGACTAGATATCCCCAGCCAGCTCATTCTACAAACGCCATATACTGTCTCTATCTCAGTCAATGCCTTCACCATCCACCCTGTTGCCCAAGTTAGGCAGGTCATCATTTCCTCTTCCCTATCCAATTGCAGAAAGTCACTAAACCTAAATGACACTACCTCAAATCCATCCCCCGTTACCCATTTTACTGCTACTAATTTTTTGAGACCTGAGCCAAATTCATGAATATTTAGGAGAATTCTGGGCTTTTGCTCTTATAAACAACGCTTTGATGAATGTTTTTAAATGTGTGTTTTGGGGCACTTGTGTAGGCTAAATCCCTAGTAGTAGAAGTGTTAGGTCATACAATTTTGATAGATGATAAATGCCTTTCAAAAAGTTTGTACGAACCTCCACTCTCACCAACAGCATAGACGTGCATATTCACACATGTCCTGTTCTCCTTAAATCATTCCAACCTTCTCAGTCGTTACATTCTGATAGGTGAAAATCACTACATTTTAGCTACATATTTCGTATTAAAAACTTTTGAGTACAAATGGCCTTTTATAGGCTCCAAATGCATATAAATATATATTCTGAACAATAAGGGCTTGCCTGAATACTCTGAAATTTAAATTTCTAAAATATCACCTCCCAAAACTTTGGACCTACATGGAGGTGAATCAAACTATCATTACACAAGGTGGAAAGACACTTTATGCATTCTCATAGAATCTTTGTCAAATTTTATTAGTGCTTTTTTAGTATTCATGACAGAGCCTACAGATGTACATTCTCATTGAAAAAAAAAATTTAAGCAACACAACTAAAGTTCCCCAAAACCATCCTCTCCCTCAGTCCCGCTTTTATCTAGAGAAGTTCTATAGTTACTGGTTTGGTGTGTATTCTCCACAGACCCACTCCTATGTATTTACATACATATATCTACATTCAGAAAATATTGGCTTTGATTTATAAATTTTATTTTGTGATAAATGGCATTACACTGTACCCACATTTCTACTGTATATCATGTATAGATTTCCATGGCATTACCTACTCATCTACCTCATTCTTCTTTATTGTTGCATACTAGTCCATCTTACACCTGTGTCTCAGTTTACTTACCATTCTCCTATTTATCATTAAGGTTATTTGCAATTTTGCCTATACAGACACAGCTGTAATAGCTGTGCTTATACATATCTCACTGGGCTAATATGCACCTTTATAAAATCTTGGTAAAACTATTGTGAAGGCAGCACAGTTCCTGCCACGTTTGGGGTATTTCCTCCCTCCTGGCACTGCAATATTTGGTATTCAGAAACCTTGGGGTGTTCTGGGGCTATGACTAGCAGCACAGGATGCACTGGCAGCTGGGGCTCCAACAGGACACCAACTGTGCTTAATGCCCGGAGCCAAGCCCTGGACATTTCCAAAGTAGACACAGCCTTAACACCAGCTGCATAAGCAAGTGTTCGTCACGGAGAAAATCGCACTGACCTACAAGCTCGCCTCTAGAGTTCCATCAAGCCCTTGCATCATTACATGTGCACATGAGGCTCAGCTCCATTAGGTAATAGACATGCTACCAGAGACAAGAGAAGAGAATGTGACCATTCTTCCAAGAGTTACACGGGAGCATTAGAATCACCCAGGCCGTGGCTTCTGGCAGAATTGGTGGAGCCTGCGGTCTCATTAGCTGCCAGTTAAAGTGGAGCTGTGAGTGCTGCTGTCACCTTCCCTGCAGGCTCCCAGCTCAGCCTTGGGAGCATGCACAGCCGGGAATGAGACCACACAGAGCAACTCTTCCTGGCAGCCTGTCTCTCTCCCCACTCGCTCCCACAGTTGAAACTAGGATGCTATACTGAGAACAGTGTTTGAAGATCACAATTCTGACTGAAGGGATATGCTGGGATTGTATTATTAAATACAAAGATCTTCAGAAATCGCCCTACTTCAAGCTATACAAGGCCCTGAGGGGATGATGGAAGAAAAAGGGGCTGCACAACACCTTTGTTGGTCACTAAGTGACGACCACATTTGATCGTCTGTTTGAACCCAATCCACAAACGTGTGTATTCTCTGGACAACTGTCACATAACCATAAAGCCACCATCATATGCCTACTTCCTAGTAGAGAACTGGATTTTGCTGCCCCCAACACGTTGCCCCTGGTTTTTTCATTCATTTAACAAATATTTTATCAATTCTATGCCGAAGGCTGTGCTGGAGAATAAAATGGGAAACATGCCTCCAAGAGTTCCAATCTATTAAACTCTTTTTCTACTACAATGCTGTGGTCTTTCTTTATGCAGAGGGCAGGATTTTTTCCCTCAGGCGGTTACGGAAACAATAGAAACAGATATGATACCAGGTTAATTACTCTGCTGCACTTACTTCTAGGAAGTCTGCAGCTGGTGAAACATGTGGAGACTTCCCCCTGTGTGCAGCTGTGACAACAGCAGCAAAGTATTTAATCAATACCTTCCTTTCAATCTGCAAAGAAAAAGGTAGAGCCATAAGCTATGAAAGCTGAGGCCCAGAGCCACTGACAAGAGGAGAGGCACCCATTAACTTCAGCTGGAAGGACTTAAGATGTAACCAAGGCCAACCCTTCATTTTGCAACCAGAGAACTTCATGGTTTATTTAGTGTTGCCTCCATCATCTTAATCTCTCACTAGGTAAGGTGACACCCACAAATTCCACAAACTGACAGTGGTGGTGTCTACCTTTACTGACTTAGGGAGTGAGGCAAAGCCAAGGTTCACTGGTAGAGGCACATCCTCAGGGCATTATTCCTGGTGCTTAGATACAGCTCTTTACACCAGGGGAGGCTTAAATACCCTTTAGAACCAGGGCCAAACACTCAAGGCGAGATTGGCTACGTGTGTGAGCCGGGAAGTAGGAGAGAATGTTCTGTATCACTACCCCCACTTAAATGATACTAGAAACAGGAATGAATTATACTCAATAAAACAGGCTAGGTGACTTGGTTGTTTATTTCTC